TACTTGATGGGGGGGTTCTCAAACTGCTTGGCGCACCTCCACTGCCGGATGCAGGACAGGCAGTACGTGTGGTTGCAGTTGGAGAGGATCCCAAACCGCCGCTCCGAGGCCGACGCCTTCTCGAGGACCACCTCCATGCAGATGCTACACACTTTGTCCTGGCTCGCCTGGAAGGCAAAGGCCTTCTCCATCTCATGTTCGAATGTCGCCATGCAGACCTGGAGGGCAGACAGCAGGAAGGGCCCTCAGGTCTGGGCCACAGGGAGCAGCAGGAGTGCACGAGAGGCTGCCAGCCACACAGCCACAGCGAGTCCGGAGCGACCACCATGGCCACGGCCGCTGTGAGCAGGGCCTGGCACCTCCAGAGAGCCTCCCTCAGACCACGAGAATGACATCAAACTGCCACAGGTCCAGCCCCTTGCTTTGCCATGTGCGGCAGAGTCCATGACAAGACACTGGTCTCCCAGCTCTGCCACCACCCTCCACCCCCGTGAGCCAGGCCCACTGTAATGAAGTTGTTCCCTCACTAAGCATGTCCCAGATGCTCAGTGTGCTGAGCCTGAGTACACGCGAGGACTCGGGCTCACAGTGTTACCTTCTCGTGAGCTTTCCTCTGCTCTGGGTCGAAGGGGTGCAGGACTCGCAGCCTGCAGATCTCACACATGTCCCCGTGCAGGTAGGCACAGGCCTCCCCGAAGCGGCACTCCCCAGCAGCCGCATAGGGGCACAGCTGCTCGCTGCTGTAGGAGCTGCAGGCCTCCAGCTCGTCCAGGCCACTCCTGATGGCATCCAGGTAGGAGTGCGGCTTCCCCTCCGGGCTGGTCTGGGAGTCGTGGCAGCCGCCGGGGTTACTCATCACGCTCGGGCGGGTCTTCTCTTCAGCCAGGCCAGAGAGATCTTAGCATAAAACACATAGCACACACGTGCAAATGAAAACCAGCACGTCCTGCTTATAAACCACTGGTCACAACCTAAGGACTCGGGTAACTCTGTGATGTAAAAATTCCACTCTTGGGAACCAGCAGTTAGCGTAATGGCTATGTCGCTGAACTCCCCCGTAGTCGACCGCGGTTCGTGTCCTAGACCCGGTGGCTTAAAACTCACGCCAGGCGCGTGTGCGTGCGTGCCCAAGATCCCGAGAAGAGAATGGAGAAGGGATTGCGGCGTGACCATCTCCCCTGGGGGGTGATTTCTCGCTTTCTGTCTCTCTGTCTCTCTCTGTCTGGTGAGCGCACGCGCCCTACAGTGAAAATCTCTCCAAAAAAAAAATTCCACTCTTAGGAAAAAAGAAAAAAGAACAGGCCAAAAGGGAAAAGTAAAAGGAACAGTATAAAATGTTCAGAGTGAGGGCCAACGCAGAGGTTAGGGTGCTGGACCCCACATGGCCAATTGCACAGTTTGAGTCCCAGGCCTGGTAGCTTGAGAATCACATCAGGTGCGTGTGCGTATATGCCCGAAATCCCGAGAGGAGGATGGAGAAGGAACTGTGGTGTGGCCATCCCCCACAGGGGGTGACTTCTCACTTGCCCTCTCTCTGTCTCTGGTGAGTGCATACATGCACCCTATAGCAAAAACTAAAGTAAGTAAATAAATGATAATAATTAAAAAGTTCATAATGACATAACACTACTAATAAAAATAACAATAAACCAAAACCAGAAGTGTCAAAACAGGGAAAAGAGCAAAACAGAACAGGATATATTTATACAAAAGAATTCGCTAAAGCTGCTATTTAAAAAAAGGCAAAAATGAAAATACCAACGTCTGGAACAGTTAACAGCACAACCGACCAAACCACCCGAAGCCAAGACAGAGGGAACTCCGAAGGAGGCCACCACCGGTGACGTCACTCATCATTTCAAAGGGGATGCACCCGAACGTCTGAAGCAGGCTGTCCTCCCAGGCCAGTGCCGGGCTGCCGACAGCGACCTGGGACCTGTCTGACTCAGAGCTGCCGTCTCCGGGCTGTGCAGGCCCAGCTCTGGCTGACTTGGTTGAGGGAGGTGGGCTCCGCCTGTCCTGTGCCCACGGTCCAGAGCAGGAAACCCCTCCCCCGGGGAGGTCCAGCAGCAGAACCGCCACAATCGATCTGCAGCCTATTCCTGGGCCGGCCCGTTCACTACCCCAACTCGCGCCTCTGCCACGAGATTCCCCACTTCGGTCAGCAGAGCCGACACCTCACAGTCTGCGGCGGGTCATGCCCCTGACCAAGATGTGGAACTCTGACAAGCGGCGGACGCGCCTCGCCTGCGTGAGGGCTGTGAGGACGGCAGTCAGGCCGACAGAGGCCGTGTGTCAGGGGTTGCCAAGCCGGCTCTGGGCAGGGAGCTAGCACCCTGCTCTGACTGCTGCGGGGAGGCAGAGCGCCCCAAGATCTGCCCGGGCATCTCTGTGTGGCAGCTGGAGAGAGATCTGGGGTGCAGGGTCCAGGAAGGGGGGACAGGAGGCAGGCGGCAGCACTCACTTCGGTCTCTAAGCACCAGTGTCCTCTTCTCGCGCTTCCCAGGCTCGTGAGAGTTAGCCTTCCCGATGGTCGTGAGGGTCGCCGTGAGGTCGGGAGGAGGGTGAGGGCTGTGGAAGCCCAGGGAAGGCCCGCCGGGGGGCATGGTGCCCACTGCGCCGCCGGCCGCAGCGGAGGGCCTCGTGTGATCGTATCTGAACAAAACACAGCAGACACGTTACCCTCCGCCACCCCAGCCTGCTGCGCGTCCAACGTTTGACAGACAAGATGTCTGTCAGTCACACTGCCTGGTAGCTGAGGGAGGTGCCTGGGGGCTGGAGGGGTGCACTGTTCTAGACCCCCTGGGGAGCAGATGCAGCTAGCCCTCCTGACAACTGCCCGAGCCACTGTCCTCCAGGGTGGGAGCCCTGACCTGCTGACGAGGGCTATAGTGACAGCTGGGACACAGCCTCTCCTAGACCATCCCTCGGGGCACCCCTGTGGGAGGATAGGGGGCCAACTCCCCTGCACAGAGGAGGTCCAGAGAGCCACAGATCAGCTCATCACCACAAAACCATCAACAGGGCTCCGGGATGTCCTCTCACCCGGCAGTTACAAGAGTAGGCAAAGGAGCCCGTGTTCACGGAAAGCTCCCACAGGGTACGTGTACCAGAAACACTGGACACGCCTACACGTCTGGCACAGGAGTGACGGGTAAACGGCTGTCATTCATGTCACACATGAAGCACTGTAGGCTCTGCTGGGAGACAAAGAGGTGGCAGGAAAAAGCGTACAGGTGGAAGAGGACAAGACATCCATCTTAGGTGTACTGGAGTACACTTTGTAACTGCATGGTCAGGGGAGCGCCGTCTGCGAAGTGGCTCTGATGGAGTCCGAGTAGCGTAGGCAGCTACACTGACGCTCAGCAGGCCCTGCCCTATCTGCGGTATACGGTCGGGAGGTCAGGCTCCCGTGTCCAGACCCAGGCCCACAGGGCCGAGGCCAGGATGGAATGGGGGCGCGGGGTGCTGCAGCCCTTGCCTGCAGCGGGTCCCGTAGGCGCAGCAGCCCTTCTGGTAGTACTTGCAGATGGTGGACGGCTTGCTGTTGGCCAGGTCGTGGGAGAAGAGGCACTGGCTGCCTTCCCGACACACCCCGTGCATGAAGTACCTGCGGAGACAAGCGAAGTGCAGCTGAGGCACGCTCGGCTGCAGAGGCTCACCCTCGAGCCCCGTGCTGGGTGCTGCCCGAGCACCCTCTGTGTACAAGGGTCCGCTGGGCTCTGGAGACATGCGTGTTCCCTCGACTTAGGGAAGCTACTAACTGAGGAGCCAGTAGATGGCGTGTGGTTAAGGTGCTGGACTCCCACATGGCCAGCCATGACCCAATCCCAGACCTGGAGGCTTGCTTTCTTACTTTTTCCTCTCTCTGGTGAGCACATGTGCCCTATAGCAAATAAAATAATAATAAATTAAATTAAATTAAAAATTCTTAAGAAAAAAGAAAAAGACCTGGCAATTTGAGATGTCACAGTGACAACTCTTCTGGAAGAAAACAGAAGACCCCGCTGGTGTGCATCTGACACCCAGCCTTCTGATTTCAGGCACGTTAATGCGCCCTGGGACTGGAGGGCACTCCAAGATTTGTTCTCAGAGGCCTCGACGCACGGACTCACGGAGTCCGACAGCCTGGTGCAGGAGCCCACGCTCCCCAAACCACTGCTCTGGGCCTCACTATCCTCCCCTCACGTGTAGCTGAGAGACAGACAGACAGCAGACAGTAACCGATGACACTCTGCTTAGCTGTCACATCCTTCACCCGGTTTATTCTGAACAGCACCAGAGACAGACTGCAGCTCCATATGCAAGCAGAGCGCACGGGCTTGGAGAGGCGAGAGGCCACAGACCTCTCTGCTGGAGGTCCCTCTCCACTCACGCTGCCTGTGTGCACCACAGACCCTCCCAGATGCTGGACCCCGTCTCTTGCCCTGCCTTCCTCCAGGGACAGTGAGCGCCATGTGTAGCCCTCTGGCCCTCAGACACCCTCCCTGGTGGCATCCACAGTGTGGGATCCCGTTCTGGGAGCTCATGCTCGAAAACATGGACTTGGGAGGGACTTCAGGAAGGCGTCGCTGACAGGGCTAATGCCAGGGGACGGAGAAAGCTGGAGGCCAGCCAGCAGGCGTCGTCGGAAACTGGCGCACAGAACACAAATCAACAACAGAGGGAAGGAAACACTCTCCCGGGAGGGGACCAGTGACTGCGAGAACCCAGCCTGGGCTACACCTCTACGTGCCAGCTGGGGAAGCTGCCTGGCCTCGGCGGGACACAAGAGCTGAGGGTCTTCGGGATCTCCCTGCTTAGTAGGCCAGCACTACCCTCTCTTCACCTGGACACAGCCCCCAGGCACAGATGGCTAACCCGGAGGGTTTCCTGCTCCCAGGAACTGGTAGAGACACCCGAGTGAGTAGCTCACTCTCCTGAGTTTGGTTGGCACAAGCCAAACACGGTCAGAAGAATGAAGCCTCAAAAGTAGTTTGGAGCACCCAAAGAGCCAAATTCCTGAGCCTGCAAAGATGAGAACTCGGGCCCAGCCACTGCAACACAGCTGACAGCACACTGAATTGTGGAGCTGGAAGCCACGTGGCAAATGTGGTTCAAGTCCTGGCCCAGCTGGCCTGAAAACATGCAGAACCCGTGTATGCACAGCCGGGGTCCTGTGGAAGGTGTTTTTCTCTTTCTCTTATGCATGCACTTTACCAAGACTTTAAACAAGAGCTGGACGGCATGACCTCAGTGACTATACTGCCGTCCCACAGTCTTTTCTAGGCAGCCGGCTCTGCTTTTCCCAGGTTACAATGTAAAGTAACTTGCCATAGGCTGTTAGAGATTTACTTCTTTAAAAAATTTAAAAAGGAAAAGCACAGAACAGAACCTGTAAACTAAACATGGGTGCTCTGTAAGAACTCATGAGCTAAAATAAATAAAAAGACCCATACCAGGCCAGCTCATGGCACGGTAGTTAAGGTGGCTGGATTCCACGGGGCCATGTGGTCTGAGTCCCAGACCAGGCAGCCTGGAAAACGCCCAGGGGTCTGCATGCCCCAAATCCCCAAAGCAGGGAAAGATGGAAGAGAAGGGATGGTGGGTGCTTCCCCTCTCTCCGGCAAGCACATACACCCTCTGACAAATTAAAAAAGACCTACACCCAAGAGTGCCCGTTATTGACGAGGCTGAATTAAAAGTGCGCAGGAGAGTTACAGGAGCAGGTCTGAGGCTGCTGCCCTCAGAAAGGCCTGTTCCAAGTTGTCCCTGAGCATCAGGGACTCGGCTGGCAAACAGCTCCCCACACTGAAACAGAAGTGTCCCTCCGTGGTCAGAGTGGCTTGCTGTGCCTGATCTGCTGTGTTGGCGCTGAACACCTGCCCTCCTTCTGGGAGTCTGGGATTCTGGTTTGCGCCTGGCTGGCCCAGGTGCTGCGCCTCTGATGGCTTCCCTGGGCGCATAGGGCCACAACTTGCTGCTGGGGATATCGCTGTGGGAGGCCTTGGGTAGGGAGAGTAGGGAGCCTGCACACAGATTCCTGCATACTCCGTCTGTCTTTATTATTTTTTTAATCATTTATTTATTCATCCATCTTTTTTTTTTTTTTTTTTTAATTTGACCAGAGAGAGACAGAGGGTGAGAGTGAGAGAAGAAATGAGAAAGCAAGCCACCAGATTCAGGACTTGAACCGTGGTCGGCCATGTGGGAGTGTCCAGGGCCTTAACTACCACAGCACCTGCTGGTCCCATTAGACCCGTCCCCCCCCCCCCCCCCCCCACCACCCCACCC